TTGTGAAATTTTGTTTTGTTGTTCTTTTTGTGTTTTTTTTTTGTTTTTTTTGTTTTTTGTTGGTTTTTTTTTGTTTTTTTTTTGCTATGTCATGGAATCATAGCAGTCATTCCTCTAATAGAAACTGACAGGACATAAAAGACAGAACTATCAGATGAACACACACAATGACTAGAAATATATCGACAGAGAAAAGACTTAATTTAGCTTTGAGAAACCGTCCCAAAAATAAAATCCTGTATTAACAAGTGCAAAAAACAAACAAAAAAGAAACTCCAAACATTAAAACACAGTGTATAAAATGGTGTGAGAAATTTAAGTCACCATACAGCCTTTTAGTCAATAAAAAGCTGTGTTCATGTGTCCTTGTTGTTTGGGTAGTGGCCCATTCTTTTCATTTTACCCAAAAGGTCATTCGAGATCTAAGGGTAAAGCGCTCAGTCCTTGCTATTTTTGACTGTAGCCATTTGGGCCTGTTGTGTTTTTATCATATAAGATGAATCCTTTCTTTTATTCCTCATTGGTTGAATTATCTTCCAAAGTTGTTATGCCTCCAAAGCCCAGTCCTGTTGAGTTCTGTGCTGCTGAGACTGTAAGTACTGTATGTAAGAGAATTAATACAAGAACACACAGTTTAAGTCTGCTGTTACACAGTCTTGATGCTGATGAAACTGGGAGCGATGTCCTGTGACACATTGTTGAGCCACTTGTTTTTATAGTCCCTTTGGATTGATGATCTGATAGTAGTCCCCATCTGACATCACAGCATTCTGGTTCTGCATTGGTTGGATAGTTTTCATAGAGCCCTGTAGGGTAAACACACAAAAAAAATTAAACATCAGGCACAAAAAGATTGGCAGAAGTTGGTAGGTCAAAGGAACAGTTGATAGTTTAGTCTAAGCTATCAAATCCATATCTTTGGGTTAGCCTGAAGCCCTCAAAACACTTGCATTTTGTATAATTAGAGTTGTTGAAGGGATATGCATCATCTAACAGGAAGCAGCATCAAAAGATCATTCAACAGAAGTGTGATGCTGAGCATGGCTGTGTAAAGAAACAGTGTTAAAAAGTAATTGTTGATGTTTGAATGATAAGGATATTTGAATTCTTCCTTTTTGGGAAGTAACAAGTAATGATGAAGTAACAACTAATCGAACTGGACATTTCTACAAAATTTGCAAGGATCTTGAAATTCTTCCTCAGTCTGTGAGTGCATACCAGTAATATCACTGTCCATGAAAAGATAGGCATTAAATAACAAATAATTGATATACTAACAATATTGACAATACTGATTGTCAAACCAATACAGATCCAACAGCTTCACAGGAACAGTTTCCAGACAGAGCTATTCAGAGTCTATTGGTTTACCTCAGGTGAGTCCTTCCAGCTGGGATGTTCTTTTTGGCATATCCCAGAGGTGAGAACAATCTTTCTGTGCCATTCAATAATTGGATCTCTTGATATTTCTGCCTATACATCTAGGCTATTTCTGCCTTTTATAACTTTACTGAGTTACTCAGCCTGATCGGATCATCAATTTTTGAACAGTCAGAGGAATACTGTCTTTTCCAAAAGACACTACTGTCTTTTTGGAAATGGTCAATACTGTCTGCATTACTATATAGGACACTAACATAACCAGCGTGTTCTGTTTACTTCTCACATATCTTCTTTTCTGATAAATTAAAGGAACTTAATTTAGCCTGTTTAACTAATGGTCAAATGCAAGAATGTCTAACATAATGGACAAACACCACTTCTCCATTTAAACTGATCTTGGAATAAATTTTGCAGTAAATAACTACTCTATGGTAGCGCTAGGTTTTACTAGGAAAAACCTATCTATGTTGAAATATTAGGATAAAGATTTTGAAAGCAGCTACATAATTGCTATAACTTATAAATTAACTTTTCGTCATGGAACAAGAATTACATTTTGTCTAAAGTATCACAGCAACGATGTTACTTTCAAAAAGCAATGCCTACAAGTTTAGGTGTAACATTCTTAGGTTCAGGCAGCAGACTGCCTGTTATTTCGTTAATAACCTGAAAAGAAAAGCAGCACACCTTAAAATAAGATAAAACTGAACTCTTTTGTTCCTACTTCCATAATATTGATCTGCAACTAAACAAAAAGTGCATTATGTATGCTGAGCATGTTAAAATGCAGATTAAATCTAGATGGCACTTTTTTACATAGCTGACACAACAGTCTACTGTTACACATGAGTCCAAGTAAAGTTGCATCTATTTTTGGATTCAAACAAGTTTTTAAAGATGCAAGAATGAGAACAGCTTGTTTGATTTTCTGTAAATTCAGGGTTTACTCTGTAGGAAATCAGGCCATTTTTGCATCTATGCAGTCAGACACTTAAGTCAGCTTACCAATGCTTAAAAATTATTTATTCTCTCTCAGATCATCACTGAATGTACTTCTCATTTTTTAAGAAATTCTGTTGCATTTTGGAACTTGTGGACAATTGTTTATTGCAAGTATAATAAAGCAATCTTATTGCTAACATATTTTCTGAGACCCACCTTTTGGTGATTGTGTGCGTAAGTGTGTTTTTAAACATGGTAACATACAGGAAGTGCCTCCCAAAGCAGGTAATTATACTATCTGTTCTGTGACTGCAGTAGCTCAAACTATTAGTGGTAATTGAAGAGACACAGAGAATGGTTAATGCTTTGATCCCACTGAGGCTTGTTTACTACTCAAACTGTATTTCCTGCCTTTCTTGTTATAGGAAAACCCAGACTTCCTTTGAAATCAAAGCCTATATATACAAGTTGGCAATCAGAAGGTTTTTAAATAGCTCATATACACTTACGGAATTATAAATAAATTGAAGACAACTCCACATTCAAAGCTGCATTGAACTTGTTCCTTAATGCAAAATTACATTTACTCTCTATTTCAATTCAGCAATTGAATTTAGGTTTTGAATTTGCAGTTACATATTTAATAATCAATTAACTACAGAACCACTATTCATATGACAGTTGCAGAACTTTTAGTTAAATTCAGGCAGAGCTTTTGCATTGAAGTGATAAAATTTCACAATTGTACTTCACCACATACTCGTTTGTAGCCATGAGTATCAGTTTTGGCCCCTTGGATCTAATCAGTCAGTATACTCAGTCAGAGAGTTACAAACCCGTGACTTACCAGAAATCCTGGAAAGCTGGCTACACCAACCTTGGAAAACCATGGAGAAAAAACCCTGTTTTGTTCTGTTAGGAAAATATTTTATATAGACAGAGAGTTTGGGATAAGGAATAGAAAGGATACCTTTACCCACCAAACCACAAAAGCTTCCCTCTTCCTCTTCTGTCTTTATAGTTCAGTTTGTAGACATCATTACTCTGTATTACTTGGATGTTCAGTAATTACATTCCTGAACAACTGTTACTGGCTCAAAACCTATTTTGCTTTTCACTTTTCACTTAAAATTCTCAGCTCTGGATCTCCATTTTCCAACTTTTCCCAGCATTCATATTTCATCAGCAGAAATCTTAGTCCACATGGAGGTTCTTGGCCCTTGATCTTAATCAAGGATCTAGAATTTGCCAGGATACTTTTTCATATCAAACCATTCTCCAGACATATATGCTATCGCTCATGAAGGTCATGTAAAAGCTATCTCTTTGCTTTGTAACCGGATACTTTTTTCACATGCAGATAACATTTTGAGGATCAGCACAGCAGTTATATCTGTAGGGAGTGTGTGTTACTAATGCTGATGCAAGAATTAAGGCTATTCCTTTGACTGAGATTATGTTAATGGAGGCATGACTGTAGATAAATCCCATGTATCCTGCTCAGCTGAATCATAGTGAAAGAAAAAGGAGTGAGCATCGTATTCACTTTGTGTAGAAACAGCTTTGGGGGAAAAACAGCAAATTGCACATATTTTCTTATGTAAGAATTAAAATCACAAAGACTGTCTATGGATGCATGGTCTGCCAATCAGCTCAATCATCAGCTAACACAGAGAATGTTGTGGTTTCTGCCTGAGCACTTACATTTCTTTTGCACAGGAACCAGCATGCAAAAGAGGTGGTTGCATTTCCATATCTCACTCCAACACTGTCAGGATGTGTCATGCTTGTAGCTGGATCTGTATCTGTAGCAGCTGGTCTGGCTTGGCCCACTTCTTCGTTTCTTTGCTACAGAAAGAGCTATGGAGCCATAGTATTCTGCATCTTCCAGTCACCATCAAAGGAAACTCGTCTGGTTGATACATTCGTTGTCATTGTTGGATAAGTAGTTTGGAAAGCCACAGAAATAAATCAGATCTTTTGGTATGTTATGTTTTTTTCCTCATTTTCTTTCTGTATAACTCTAAACTGTGGTCCTTTTAGCATAGATTTCTGATTATTGGCTTGGTATACCAAGCTTCTTGTGCTTGAAGAAAAGATCATGAACTAGAAGAAGAAACCAGATAAGTGGATGTAGTGTACCAGAAGTTTTGAATGCTCCATTTTATTGTGAAGCACAAAGTAAATAATGTCTGTTAAGTGTGATCCATCCAGCAGTGACATCATTGTACTAGTGAATGCCAATACTCTGCATGACATTTCTCTTTCTGAGGAATTATTTCTGAGATTTCAATACTAACATTTTCCAACTACAGAAGGCAAGAGAACACATTAGATATTATAAGACTAGATTTCACTGCTTGCTTACATCTGATCTGGAAGTCAGCTCTCTTCGATCTTATCCAGATGGTCTTCTCAATTTCTAAATTGCTGTGTCTGTGACACATTATGGTGCTTCTGTTTAGCTATGTAGTTTATACCCTTCATATTATAAAAAGTAATAAAATGAAATTTAGAAGAAGGCTTAAAGATAAATAAACTATTCTTTAGTGAAACAGATTATTCTTAAACTGCTGAATATGGCTGTTCAGCTCTTTTGAAAAGGCTAATTTCCATTTCAGACTCCATTCTAATTGTTGGATGAGATCTGTGTTGCTGTGTTTTAATTTTATTTTATCACTATATGTTGGTGACTATTTCAGATAATTGCCTCTGGAACGTTTTCCTGTGTCTATGCATCTACATTCAAGAAAAATTCATTGTGTTTCTTCACCATGCATGGATTTTTTTTCCCCTAAAATATGTACAGGACCAATTTCCTCCTGCCCATGTAAATCAGTGTTATCCTTGTAAAACTGACTGAGCTGCTGCAAGACAGAAAAATAAGCAAATAGGTGGCTTTCAAGGCTATACAATGAACTTTTTTAGCTCTGCTATGTTGAGATACAGGATAAGGGTGAGACAACTTGCTTCTAGCATTTCCCTCCCCCCTCTAGTTTTGCTTCTATTATGTACAGTTTTTGATCTAAAGGATTTACTACTTTGATATGATAGGAAAGGGTCATACATATCTAAGTACTGTGTTGCCATAGAAAGTTCAGGGATATCAATAGGTTAATTGCCTGGGTTGTTTTTATAGGAGAAGAACATTTGCAGCTAATAAACCCATTATAATATGGGACCTCATTCATGGGAAAGTCCCAATATTCAAGACTAGAAGAACACTGGACTCAAAAAGATGAGCTATTTGGCTGACAGATTCAGCTGCAAAACCGTGTCAAATTTTCCTTGTAAGCAGATCCATAGCTAGTAACGATTTAAACCATGCTTGTCAAACATGAACGGGATTTGTCTTGCTGTCTGTGTTAGCTTAGTATTTTGATATTTTAGGACCTACTAAGAGGTGTAGGTAGGAGGCAAATGGCATATTATTATGAGTTATTTTTAGAGTAAGAATTTGGGTCAAGTATATATATATTTT